GTCTCATTTTCCAGCACGGTCTGTCTGTCTGTGGCTGACACAGTGCTGACCACAGAATGTTCTGGAGAACAGAAGGAAAGCAGAGCAGAGAAAAGCCTCTGAAGGAATCTGATGTGCAGACATGAAAACCTCTTATCTCGGAGAAGGAGCTGAAGCCCGGCTCATTTTCTCTGAGGGTTTACGCAGAGTCTGGAACAAGTTTTGTAGGAGCAAAGTTCATAAACTGAACTCGAGTTCAAGTACACATTGAAATCAGGAGGTTTTCACCTGTTATCAGAATAGCTAATGTTTGATTTCCTCCAGCTCTTCAGAAGGGTCAGCTGAGCAGCAGCGCTACACTCTAAAAACAAAACGTTTTTCAACAAAACAACGTTCACTCATTGGAATCGCAAAGCGAGAGTTTTGTGCGACCCGGAACGGAATTTAAGTTCTGAATCCGAATTAGCATTTTAAAGTTCGGTAAACATTCTTATTTTCTACTTTATACTCAAGTGTTAGACTTCCAAAGTAAATATGATGCAACCCCAGCCATTACAGATATTTTACAAATTGGACATCTTATCCATTACAACCATCTTTAAATGGGCTCTTCTGGGACCTTGGGTCATCTGTTGCTTTTATTCATCTTGACGGGGAACTGCGAGCCTGATTCTGTCCAAATTCAACGAAATGTTACAGGTTTTAACGGCTGTCAAGCCTCAAAAAGCTAACTCTGAGTTTGAGTATCTGAAGTAAAACATCTTAAAGAGCTCCTTAACATCAGCCTGAAGAGTTGTGTCGAACTAACTTCTCTGGTCAAAGATCTTGAACATACTGAAACTGTTCCGATTAAGCACAACATCAAAATTCAACACGTACAAATATCTGTCTAGATAGAGGAATGTTGGACTTTTTACACTTTCTCGCGGCAGATCTTTTAAATAAAAGGGTCCGCCAACTAACAGGATCCGTACAACTCATAGAAACTAGAATTGCATCTAACTGACTTGGACCAAAATAACATCAAATTAGCACGAAAAAGAAAGTTAAAACCGGTGAAAAACGTTTTCTTTTCAGAGTGTACTTGCTGAAGTTGGGGGGTTTTGGGGGAGTGGGTCTGAAGGGGTAAGGTGGGTGGGGGGGTAAACCAACACATGACCTCAGGACCAGGCCGAGCATCCTCCAGAACTGACCTTTCTGCCGGAGTCCTTGTGTCCACACTCCCCTTTGTCATACCACCATTTGTTTTTCAACTTGTCTAAGATGGCTTGTTCATTGAGCTTCAGTACTGCTAGGTTTACTGGGATTCTTCAAAGAACCATGGGAGGAAGGGAGGGGGAGGGAGGGGTGGAAATAACATAAATAACATTATGCACCTCCATGTTATCTTATGTTATTGTTAAAGAGCTGCGGCAGCTACAGCAGCACTAAAGATCTTATCAAAAACTGGCATTTTCAGTACAGATGTTTCGGTACGCTACAGAGAACACCTCAACAACAACAACAGAAGAAAAACAAAGAACATCACACATAAAACTTCTCTTGGTAAATGTCAGCGTAAAAGTGATATGCGTTAATACTCCATCTAGCTTGGTTTGGCCTGACTCCCTACGTGCGAGATGTGTATTACTATATCACTTTGGGTAACCGGCAAGAGCTCAAAACACTCCGGGAAACTAAATCAGTCTGCTGGCCGAAAACCAGAAACATGTCCTCTGTATTTTGTGAAGGAGAGACGTTTAAGGACGGCTGTAGTTTCACTTTTGGGCGGATGAAGTCAAAACTGTCCGAATACTAGGAAGTGGCTTCAGAGGATGATCAGAGGGGGTATTTTACCAAGTGAGCTCATGTACCTGGATTATCCTGATTTATTGTCCGTCAGCTTTTATTCATTTATAGACTTTGCTGTACAAATACTATGTTATAATATACATTTGATATATACCAGGAGGCGTGTGGCGCAGTGGTCTAGTGCGTTAGTGTTGGGATCAGGGGAGCACAGGTTCAAACCCACTGCAGTCAGCATGTTGTTGTGTCCCTGAGACTCGGTTAAAAATTAAGAAATTACTCTTTTAAAAATGATTGTATGAAAAGCGATCATGTTGGTTTCATGCAACATGTAAATCTGCATTAAAGGACCCTATAGGTAATCCTGTTCCCGATGTAAATCTTTCTACGTGTTTGTCTGTAAAATAGTCCCTGGATCAGAAGCTGGCAAGTCTCCAACAAGGTGAATAAACCTGATGGATCCAGAGTTTCTACAACTGTTTGTTTTCTGTGGGGCCGTCCGGAGTGCTTTACGCCTGGTGTTTTAGCGGTGGGTTGTTGCCGGTTACCCCGGTGTGGCATTGCCTGTCGTTACCCGTTGGGGTTACGGTGATCTGACCTTGGAGTCCCCTCCCCCGGTGCCGCACTCTCCCTTGTCATACCACCATCTGTTTTTCAATTTGTCCAACAGGCCCTGCTCGTTCAGTTTTAAAACTGCCAAGTTAACAGGGTTTCTACGGGGATGATGGTGATGGGGGATAGAAGGGAACTACGTGTTAATGAACAGAGGACTGCCATAGTGAAGCAACATCAGTACAGGAGTCTACTTACAACAGGCATGGTAATATCTTATCTTAAAGTTAGCACTGCTCTTCAACCCAGACTTTGGTCAAATGCTGTTTCCCTTCTGTTTGAAGTTGTCTATATAATGTTAGTGTTAAAGGCTCACTGGGCTTGGACACTATCTGTGCCATGAGCATTCAGGCCTCCGAAGAACAGATTCAATCTTCTTTTTCTAAGTGGCAAAGCTCACAGACAATAGTTGTATAGGTTTACCAAAAGCATTCGTAAACTGCATTTCCATTTTGGTGTCCAGACAGTTTGAAATCCAAATGTTATTGAGATCACAAATGGTCTAAAGTTAAAACGAATATGTGTTTATTCACTAAGAGACAGATGCTACCGTAAAAGACCAACTGCTCACCAGGAGACTAACACCTGTGGCCCATGCCAGGTATGAAATAAGGGTTTAGATTATTGCCCAAGGAAACTACGATCCTGAAGGGACTACGGATCCTACCACCCTCTGATTGGTAGAATCACTGCCAATCAAGAGCACCAAACACTGTATTCATCATTTATAAGAAACGACTGCCCCGTGAATGAAAACACCATTATGTGTTACAAGAACCGTGGCATTATTTCACTTTCTGATTGCTTCATTCAAGATTCAATTTGGTTTAGGATCCAAATTCTTTAACAGGTTGGTCTAAATCTTCAATTGACCGTTTGCCTTAAGTGTTCTGGTCCGATGAACTTTGTCTACCAATCTGAGCCTTAACTGGATACGGTTCACCGTTCTATATAACTTTCATTAAGAGCCATGTTTTCACTCCAGCATCAGGGTCCTCGTGGTGAAGATGGCACTGAGATATTTTGTAATTATTTCAATTTACAATGCCATCTTGGTTCTGACCTAATGAAGAAATTGGACTATGGTTAAAAGCGGCAACTACAGATACTTTTGGTACCAAGTCGCAGTAATAATTCAGAAAACGTAGTTTAAAGACAAGGTGGTTCTCAGTGGTGTCAACAGAAAATCAGTTTCTGCAACTCAAAATGTACGCGATCAGGGGACTGTTTGTTAAAGCAATTAACATCAGCATTTGGAGTGCTAATATTTACAGCTGTACATCAAGTCAGAAATGAGTAATAGGCGAGGGTAAATAACGTCAACATGATGAATATATTTGCTCCGCTGGTTTGTGTCGAGCCTAATCGGCTGTACCAGAAGGTTCCTCATGTTCAACACAGCTGAAGGAAAACAACATTTCATTATGGTCTGGGTTGAAGAACAGCAAATGCATCCTACACTTTACTACCGGCAGCAATCCTCGACTTAGAATACATTCATGACCTGATCAATAAAAAGGAACAACAGTCACATGTCTGATAATAAGTAACAAGTGGAACATAGAATAATACTCTTAATGTGTTTTACAGTTTAGTATTCTGTACATTATACATTAATACACGGTTCTCGTTGTTCCCCTTTAAACACCAGTGGTGATAAAAGCTCAAGAGTACGGAGCCCCTAAAGGGACATGGAAAAAAAAAATAAAGTCAGGAAAACGGATTTGTTTCTCGTGCGCACGAGAAACAAATCCGTTTTCCTGACTTTATTTTTTTTTTAGAAAGTTACCGATGCACCAAGGAGGAAGTGGAACACGAGACAACCCATTTCATTGCAGACTGTTATGTTTACGTGGGGAAATGACAGTGCATACATTATTTGAGATATATTTTGAAGTCAGACTTAATTTTACATTTCGGCCAGGGGTAGAAGCTATTGGTTTAAGCACCGGATTGGCAAAACACTGGCGAGTCTGTAAACCAGTCTGCTTTGATCTATGAATTAATGTCCGTGACTCTCAGAGTACCTGCTGCCCGCAGCTGTTTTATACACACACACACACACACACACACACACACACACACACACACACACACACACACACACACACACACACACACACACACACACACACACACACACACACACACACACACACACACACACACACACACACACACACACACACACACACACACACACACACACACACACACACACACACACACACACACACACACACACACACACACACACACACACACACACACACACACACACACACACACACACACACACACACACACACAGGCCATCGGGACGAATCCCATTGGGCCGGTACCAAAGTGGGCCGCCCGTCACTAGCCATCTAAGTACGATATATATCTCAAATAATGTATGCACTGTCATTTCCCCACGTAAACATAACAGTCTGCAATGAAATGGTTGTCTCCTGTTCACTTCCTCCTTGGCGCACCGGTAACTTTCTCAACAATAAAAAGTGTGCACGAGTTAGTAAAAAAAAAGTCAGGATAACGAGTTAGTATCTCGTGCGCACGAGAACGTTTCTCGTGCGCACGAGATACTAACTCGTTATCCTGACTTTTTTTTTTCTCTCTCTGTTTTTTAAAATGTTTTAACATGTCCCTTTAGGGGCTCCGTACAGACGGTAGCAGAGATGTTTTTAAAGAAACATGAATTAATAGAATGATTATTGACAGGCCAACCAGTACATGGACGATAACAATACAATTATTATGATGACGGCCAAAAGAAGACTTTTGTTCTAAAGGGATTCTGTTACATATTCTTTGTAATCAATCAACTGAAACGTCATTTTGGAACAAAAGGTCTCCAAACGATAGCATTGTAGTGATGGTGTTTCAAAGGGGAACTTCTGGATGTTTCAACCTGGACCCTTTTTTCCCAACGTTTTTGTTTCTAAGTGACAAATGTGTTCAGTATTGAGCGAGAGCACTACAGCTGCTAAACAGGCGCTAATGCAATCCTTCGTACATTTACTAACGTTTGTTTTGCCTCAGATTGTTGTTCCATAATTAGAGGAGAATTTAGACAAAAACACGTTTGAAAAATGAACCCTTTATTTTAAAATGTTCTGTTGTGTATTTGAGAAAAACAGGTAGTAAACCATTATAAATAATTGATTTGGCTAGCTCAGGTATTAATGGTCAACTTTTGTTTTGTTTACTTTAGTGAGATGTTAGACTAAAACAAAGTTATTTTATAATTATACGTGAACATTTGACTAAAGATAAAACATTGAACTGCAGAAACTAAAACCCTGTAACTGTAATTACTCCATAACAGTAATGGGGTTGCAAATCAATGCTAACGTTAGCCTTCACCTCTTAGTGAAGAAGTCTGAAATCATGCAATACTCCACATGTTGTCAGCAATGACATGCACAATATTTCAGATTACTTTACGACAAACTATGACAACACTGGCGCAGATCGACTCTCCTAGAATCTTTCAGAAGAGACATGATTCATTTCTCTGTAGGCTCCCTTTCCATAATGTTGTCGGAGCCGGAGGCAAAATCAAACCCTTTAACGTGACGTACATTATATGAAGGATTTCATTACCGTCTGTGTTCTCTCTCAACACTGTGTTGGAGGGTTGATTCCTACCAGAGTTCCCCTTTTAGTGTGAGCAGAGCTGATGGCAGCAGTAGAGCTGAGTGTGATGGAGTTAGTCAGCGGAGACGATGGAGCTGTTGACTGGACACGGTCAGCTGTTAGCACGGAGAGGAACCCAGAGGCAGAGAACAGAGTCTGTTCAGATGGAACTAGTGATCTGTGTAACGCTGATTATCCAATATGCTCAGCATTAAGGGCTTTAACTCAAATGTGTTGCTAGGCAACTGCTCAAAAATACTGGTGAGTAACTTTCTGATTTACAATCTGCCATCAGAAACCCTTCACTTCCTTTCAACAAAACAAAACACATTTGACAGCGAAGGCAGAAAGCCAATTTGCTCGCTTCTGTTTTACTACGCTGATTGATATTTCTGGCCTACTAATTACATAACATACGTTACTATTATTATATTCAGGATTTACTAATCTCATCTGTGGAGCTCATCTCCGTTCTCCGGCTCTGGGTTGTCTGTAAAACGCTGACGTGAAGCAGAAAGAAAGAGGACAAGACGTTCTGATGAAGCGTGGACAGAGAAGGAACATGAATTTCAAACGCTGCTGTCGGATAAACATGTACAAATAAACTTGATTATATTAATGTTGTAACCGGGGTAAGACGTTTGGTTTCGTTCAATTGAAAAGCTAGCGTTCAGAGACCAACAACTTTATAACTGAATGTCTACACAAATGGGAAAGAAGATCCTTCATCGTCAATTTGCAATGAATTATTCCGTCATCTGTGGTCTTTGTATGTGAACTATAGACATACTGTCTAAATGAGCATCTGCAGTGTCTTGCAATGAACCAAAAACATATACAACAATATATTTATGAATTTCCCTTTTTGGGCAAAATGTGGTTGGACTAATTTCCTCTGGTGTTACTAAATGTTCTGTAGGGCTTTACAAGATGGTTGCTGTGTTGTTGCTGATTCACTTTAGCTACCGTTGTTTTGTGTGTGGTCTCTACTGACGCACAAATAAACGCTGGGCATTGGTCCTGCGCTGCTTAAGTGACGATTCTTTCCAACCAGTCAGGATTTTGCAGAGTTTGAACTGTACCTTGAACTACAACCACTTGTTCCATATTTGACTCCGACGAGGAGATTTTCCGGTAGAGGTTTGGTTTGTCGGCAGCATTACAGAGTTATTGCTGGCCCAATTTGAATGAAACTTGGTGGACGGGTGTAACAAGGGACGAGGAAGAACCCAATTAAAGTCACTGAATAAAAGGGCCTTAGCACATTTGATTCAGTACAAATTCTTATTTAACGACGATTCGACACATTTATAAATAATACACATTTTATCTGACAGCAGCAATGCTCATGTAGGGATGAATGGATAGATAGATAGATAGATGAATGGATAGATAGATGGAGAGATAGATAGATGGAGAGATAGACAGATAGATATATAGATAGATGGAGAGATAGACAGATGGAGAGATAGACAGATAGATAGATAGATAGATAGATAGATAGATGGATAGATAGATAGATGGATAGATGGATAGATAGATAGATGGAGAGATAGACAGATAGATATATAGATATATAGATAGATAGATGGAGAGATAGACAGATGGAGAGATAGATGGAGAGATAGACAGATAGATAGATAGATAGATGGAGAGACAGTTTGTTGTGTTGTTGTTAGCAGTCAGACAGGCACAACTGATGACCACAGACAGGTAGACGGGCCGACAGACAGACAGAAACACTGAGACAGACAGACAGAGGGACACACATATAGACAAAGACAAACACAAAAGAGAAAGAGACAAGACAGACAGAGAGACAGATTAAGAGACTGACAGTCAGACAGACAGGAAGACAGACAAACACACACACAGTTATCTAAACCTAAAACTGACCTCCAGTTCTGTGGGTCAGTTTCAGTATTTCAGTTTGTTGTCATAGCTACAATCTGGATGTATTGTTCAATGGTTCTGTGCAGAGGTGTGGACTCTAGACTCAATTTGACTCAATTAAATAAAGCCTTGCAACTCCCCTTAAACACCAACGACTTGAAACCTTGCTTTGTCCTCTAACCCCAAAGAATAATAAAGGCTATGTTTTTTTAAAAGGTGTGCCACATATCAATTACTTTACTGAGCCAATTAATGCCGTACATTCCTCAGAAGTCCTTTGTCAGAGCCGACAGCAGCCAATCAAGTTCCAGGACAGAAACATATGATGAGTGCTAGTACGAAAAAAATGATACAAAAGAATCAAACAATATCTGTGCTGAGTTTAACAGAAAACTAGTTTGAGTTCATATTGACCTTTACAATTGGTGGTCCAACTGGACTTTGGATGGTTTGGAGATGGTTTTCATAAATATTGGTGAAAGTCAAGGGTCAAAGAATAACCCGGGATACATTGGGGCGGGTCCGAATCACAGGAGACATTTGACTGGTACTTGTAATACATGTAGCTGATAGCGCTTCTGTACTTTCATTGGTTTGAGTCTAAGAAATACACTCTTTTGTATTTTCACCTAAAATACTTCTGAACAAGCTGGTGTCGATTACTGTGTGAAACATATTAGGGCTGCAACAGTTTTAACTTCTCTTTATCATATATATATCAATACCAAACAAATATGTTTTATTAAGTGTGTAGAATACCATTTGGTATTTAACACACATATAATATTTTACAAATACTTTTACCCAAGGGTGTAACTTTGGTCTGAGAAGTGGGGGGGACACAAAACACGGGGTCCTCCGCAATGAAACATTGTTCTCGATTTAATTCCATTTCCTGCCTTTCTATATATTAGGGACTATGGTGTTAACTAATCCTAGACAAATGTGTAGTGTATATAATGAGTGTGCACACTTATCTAGTATCCTCTCCATGTGAACCGTTTTATTTGTGATGACCTCACCTCCTCTAGGGGGGTCCGGGGGCATGCTCCCCGGGAAGATTTGTTTCTTTAAATGGAAGTGGAAAGCATCAATCTGGTGCCCAAATGAAGAGATGTATGGATACAGCTCTCAACACTCATATGAAACAGAACTGTATATATTTCAATACTCCAAAAGCCATTAGAATAGGCTCGCAACCAATAACACATATTTGATATGCTCCTCTCTCCTATCTTTATCTTACCATCTGCATTCTTTCTTTTTGTTTATGCATATTTTACGAATCACTCCCCTTTCAAACTGTGTTTTTTTTTTTTTTACTGACATTGGAATTATTTTTTAACTTATTTTGAACAACTATATTAAATAGATGGAAATATTTGTTCAGACCAAACCGTTTGAGACCCAGTGAGATAACTTAGACTAAAGTTTACAATCTAATCGCTCAGAGTCCTTTACCTCCCTGAGCTGACGTTATCTCAGTCCGACAGTAGAGAGCTCTCCCTCTCCTCATTGCTGAAACAGCTTCTAATCTCCGTTAGCTCCGAGCTAGCACCAGATGCTAACATCTCTCTCTCTCTCTCTCTCTCTCTCTCTGGACGTCGTGGATTAAACTATCCAAACACAAACTGCTTTAACTAAGAGTCTCTGCTCTGTCTTGTCTGGTCCTTTTGTTTTTATCAAGTCGATCAAAAGTCCACACCTCTGCACCTCAGACCTGCTGTGAGATCAGCAACTCTGGCATGTTATAAGACAACGTTTAAAACCTGTACATGTGTTTGAGTTCATGCAACCAATCCTGTTTCCTGAATAAATCTTATAGACATAGAATAATAATATTTCAACATGTGCATTGTGTGGATGCCGTAGGTCACCCGTAGTACATTTAGTCTAAAGGTGTGCTTGTCCTGATGTCCCACAGAAACACACAACAGGACCCCACAGACTGTGAGTTTACCTGAGGGCGGATCCTTTGGGCGTGGCCACCCCGTAGCCTTTGGAGTCCAGGTTTCCTCCGACCTTCATGGTGTCACAGGGCTTCCTCTGCTCGATGTACTCGTTCATGGACGACTCCAGCAGGTAGGCG